ATTCAACCACATGATGTACATACACATGCTGAGTTAATTTGTTGTCTTTAACTTATTTATAGTCCATAATAACTAGATTAGCGAGTATTTTGGAACTGAGCAATTTTCAAAGTTCAGTATATGACACAGCAAGTAAACATCCTCAGCTTTATTTCTCCCCTATATTTAAACTTTGTCCCATATCCTCTTGTGTGCGCAGTAGGGAGCGTGATACCTGTAAATGGCCACTCACATTTTGATTTCTTAAGTGTTGGCCTTGCTCCGGTACTTGCACGGGGGAGTATGTGAGTGAGGAGGCTTGGGGCAGCGGAGGTGAGGCGCGATGGAAGCGGAGGTTAAAGTGCACGCAGGATAACTGCATGAGCTGGATGAGATGGAGCCCAGTGCATTAAGACACTGTATTATTTGGCCGTTCCACTTGCTTGCGTCCATTAGGGGTGGCTGGCGCACTATTAAAGGGGTCAGCCGACTGTGCGTTCTACCTGGGAGCGTGCACGGCATCTCTACAGTTACATGTGTGAGTGTGTGTGTGTTGCCACGGTTACGTGTGTGTGTGTTTGGAGACTTAGCCGAGTGCTCCTGCGTCTTATTGAACAGGACGGGCTCCCTGCCTCTAATACCTCTTCATTTTATTGGATTGGATTGCCCCAGTTATAATTGTATTAGAGTCCTACCCCTGCCCCCACTTTCAAACACTCTGTCTTCATCTTACTTCCATGCTCCAACCACATCACTCCACCTCTGCTTCACCAGAACTTCCAGAATCCTTCTCCTACTCCTTTTGCTTTCCTTCAAAGTCGAGGAGGTCATGTTGCAGACAGCTGTTGACTTGGGCTGAAGGTGGAAGGCAAGATGTGAAATCTGGAGAAGGTTGTCAAGGGAGTAAATGTCCAGCCGTGACCTTGTTGAGAAAAACATTCAACCCCTTTGCAAGAGTTTAGAGTTAAGAAGCAGTGTATTCTAAGAACAAGTACTGACCAAGATGGCAGTGGCACAGTGAGAGTTACAACACTAACCAGAGGGTTTCCTGGATAAAACATTTTTTCAACATAAGTCACTCTGATCACTATTGACATTTTATGACTATATTTATCTATACAAAGTAAAAAAATATACTGTTGTTTTATACTCTGCTCTTCTTTTGTCAAACCAAAGCTTGCACATTATCAGTATGTAGAGGCATCTAGTAATATGTGAGAATGCTACATGGCCAGGTCAGCAAGTCTTATTATGGATGTTGGCTTTAAGGTTGTAAATAGTGTAGTTAATCGTATTACCAGTAATTGTTATGTATTCTTCCAATAATAAAACCTACTCTACACTTTACAAGATTTGACTATTGTGCTGAGGCAAAATTGATGCAAATACTTACCTACTGAGTATTGACTATTATAAACCATAGTTAACATTTACAGATATTTGTCTTTGAGTTCATAACTATCCATTTTCAGTGTGACAGAGTTCTGAGCCCTCCTTGTGGTTGTTGCACAGTCAGCTCTTACTGCAGAGTTAACCAGAGAAGCCTGAGCGCCTCTCGTTTCCCCCTTCGCCCTTGAAGAGAGAGCAGACCAGGAGATGTCAGCTCCTCATAAAAACCCTTCTCCCCTCTCCGCCTTTCCAAGCCTTTCCTCAAACCTTGCCATCTGTCTAATTGTTCACCTCCATCGCTTTAATGCTTTTTACATGCTCTCGACCCCCCCAACTTTCCAGGCAATAAACTTTATTTTCTTCGCTAGACTTGGAATCTGCAGGGGAGGGCGAGCGGCCAGGCTGTTGGATTACCTCCGTCCTCTCTCCCTTTGGTCTCCCCCATTACTTCCCCTGTTTGGCCTGTCTCTGGAGAGGAGGATCGGTGTTCTTCAGGCTGACACGTACGCTCGTCTTCTCTGCTGGTCATTGGGCAGTGGAGCGGGCCCTGTGGAGCTGGCCCTCCTCTGGTCCACTAATGATCAAACTTTCACGGCTCTGACCTTGGTCCCGATGGTGCGCTCCCATGGTTTAACACAGTCTCGACTAAGAGCAGTCACTACACATAGGTCTTTCCCCAAGAAGAAAAAATCTTGCTAAGAATCAAATCAAAATCACTTTGTTTATTTGTTAGGAACATAACTTTATGTAGTATGTTTTTCTTGACTTCCAAAAGATCACTATTTTATATCTTTATACATGCTGCAACTACTGTTTTTTGTACAGCAACTTGGTCAACCATTAAATTTAAGATGTAAGATGAAAACAGATTTGAACATTGCATTAAATTTATCAGAATCAGATGATTAACAGAATGACCACTGGAACAAAATAGCCACAAGTTTGTAGCAATGTGCACACTTCTGAAAAATCTCATAATCTCATTTTTGCTTTTACATTTGTCTTCTATGAAAAAGGGTTAATTGCTAGTGTGTTACACATCGTGGGAGGCTATAGATCCAAAAAGAAGTGCTATAATAAATAAATACATGTAATCAAAAATGTACTGAAATTGTGAGGTGGATTGAAGTTGATCATAATTTATCTCAAAATCTAATCTTGTCTCGTTCCATCTTGTCTCTCGTGGACTTTGTGTCTCATCCTACTTCGGTGACAAAAGTTTAAAATCTGGATGACAAAACTAAAAAAATTAAGAAAATATGGTTGTCAAAAGTATCGAATATCAGATACTAATCACACTAAGTCACATTTACAGAAGATAAATTAACCATTCCTGAAGCTTTAGAATGATCTTGAGCTGTATCAGAACAAATAAAAGACAACATAGACTAGTATACACCCATGGACCACTATGGTTTAAATTGTCAGAACTTTATTATTACATTTGATCAAATACTAATAATTTTAGTTTTACCTTTATCTAAACTTTCTTTTTTTTACTTGCTCCTGTACTTTGACAGCACTTTGTGAACATCCCTCCTTGTCCCATGCAGTCGTAAAACGGGACAGTTGTCTCCGCTCACCTGTGATTACTGCTGTGTGCACATCATACCCGCTCAGCCCCTATCATCATATCTATAACCGCCATAACCGCCCTTTAATGTTTAGTAATAGCATCCTCATAATGGTATGGAGTAGCATCAAGAGAATAATCCAGGCATAGATAATGGTGGCGCGCCTTTACCCTTGAGCCCTGGGTTTGTTGTGTGTCTGTGTACTGATGTTTAAACTCACCCCAACCCATTTTAGTGTCAGTAAAATGCCTGGAGAACGACTGGCACTTAACCCTTTGCTCGCCTCCAGTGGTCCATAGAGGGCTGTGGATGCTTACATGTGAGCAGAGTCTATGGGGAGAGCGGACGCTAAAATGCTGATAGTGGTTCCGGAGCTGTAATGCAAGCTGACAGCGTTCCTTTGGGAATGGCAGACAGGAGTATGCGGAGGAGGACACATGGGGAACACAGGGGGAACCTGGTGCTGCTGTACCCCTGGCCCAGCTTCAAGTAGTGGGGGACACTGCAGTGGGAGGGATAGGTCCAGTGGAGCAATCAACTGGGTCTATCAGTGTCCTTTGTGATAAAACTGGATGTAAAGAAAAAATAAAGGTGTATGTAGTCAGGAGCATCTAGCTGCAGGGTTAAGCTGTGTTCTGCACTGGTAAAAATTACTGGTGTTTATGATTAATTGTTTAATATGTAAAACTAAGTACCACCTAAGTACCACCAAAGTATGTAAATATATTTGACCGTGATGAAAAAATTGCTATGTGTATTGTAGGCCAGCAATCACTTACCGTTCAATCATGCCTAGTCGACTATGAGAAATAATGATAATTGTATTTTTATAATGGTAATTGTTAATTGGACTATACAGACTATCACACATCCAAAAATATCTTTTGTAACGAAGATAGTGGCAAAAGACAATTTCAGATTTGTGTCTATAAACAATCACCATATTTCAACCTTTATTTGACTGAGACAGACTAGTTCCCTTTTCTGTTGCAGAGCATTTAATCCTTATATTCCCAATACCATACAGTAATATACTTGAGGAATCAAAGCTAAAGGTCTTTTATGTGTTTTTAACTTCTTGTTGACCGTGAACAGTGTTAAATAAATAAACTTTGCTTTGCTTGGATACACTTCTTTCTGGGGTCTTTGCTTGCTTTTAAACTGCTTGTTTGATAACAGTGTGTGCAGTGCTCCTCTGTATGTGTAAGTGTAAGTGTATCCGAGGCCTCTGCCCTACAGCACAAAGCAGTGTACCACACTGTAACAGACTATGATGAATATTGCGCCTGTCTTCCTCTCTGTGTAAATGCACTTATGCATTCACTTCTTCAGTCATTTATCTTTCCCTGCTCCTCTGCCGTCCTCACCCTGTCTGCTAACATCTGGTAAGAGGAGACACGCAAACATGGAGCAAAGTTACACAGGCTCCAGTCCTCACACACATCTTTCTGCATGTATCTTTGTAGGGCTCAAGATCATGTATCTTTGGATGCTTCACGAACATGTATGTTCAATATTGTATAGTTCAATAGAGAATCCCTCAGCCATGCAGATGTGTTCCATTGTTCCAAGGAGTTGAAAAATAACTGGACAAATGGAAAAAGACGAAATGGTGCTGCTCAATTTTGGAAATAAAAAAAAATTGTTGTTGCAATTAAATTTGCAGTGTATGTATAGTAAGTAGGATTCTTTTCAGAGTGCACATTGTATAGAAATCCAGGAGCATTAACATTTGAGAGAAGATTGAAATCTGAACTGATAGACAAGATTCTTGTATTTGTTTATTTCAGAGCATGTTTGAAGAGGTCTAAAATACATGTACAAGATTTTGTAAAAAGCATTTATTTTCTTCTTTCCAAAGAGCATTTTTATCGTCTAAATAATTCCATCCTCTTCAATTTGATAACTGTGCCAAGTGAAACTGCAAACGAAAGAACTTTACATTTTGTTTTACTTGCACCACTTCTGGCCCATGAAATTTGGGATACCATTGTGCAAGACAATAACAGTACACAATATGGCGAGTTCCATTAAACAGCTGCTTCTCTGTCTCCACAGCACAAAGCCCGAGTGGAGGCCATGATGTGTGACCTGGCCTCACTTCGCAGTGTCCGAGAGTTTGCCCAGGCGTTCAAAGCCAAGAAATTGTAAGTATTAGAACTCATTTGTTTCAAACTACAAAACAGACATTTAAAACACTTAACATGCCTTGCATTGTCAATACTATCAAATAATTATTATCAGTAAATGTGGTATTTCACTGTTTGCTAATAGTGTATAGTTGTTGGTAATTTGAAACCTGTGACAGTTCACATTTCCATTGTGTCATGTGGCATGACACCTTGTCTGCTTTGCCACCACCGATACATAGAGCTGTAATCATTATTAAATACTAAAGACGCAATTAACATGCCATCTCTTGATTATAAATTAGGTAATCTAGTTTGGACTCCCTTATGACTGCCTGCAAATATTTGAGGACCAAATTTTGGGTCTCGACCCCTGATAGCTGCAAAGAATTAACACATACTCTTACACAAATGTTTGTTATAGATATGTGAGTGTTTTACTTAGTGACTTTTAAGTTGTAAATAAAAAGTAATTAAGTAAGTAAACAGTTTAAAACATATACTGCAGAAAATTTTGAGTTAAACTACCCATTTTATTTCTATTTGAGGCACAAATACAGAAATAAGTTTGGATCCAGAACAAATGCATCTCTACTGGGGTTTGACTGAGGCCATCTCCCTTATTCATCATATTTACTGAGAGTGAGGGGAGGTCCCAGCAGTGCGCGGTGAACAGCATATGGACCGGGCCCTGGAGACGAGCGTGCATGGATCTGCATCACTTTGTCCCACACTGAATGGACGCGGGTCACTTTACGCCTGCTTTTGTGGCGGTCAGCATGTCTCCTGACCGGTCACGCTGCTGCTCTTCGGGGGTCATGTGTTGTGTCATTGGGCTGGAGGGTCTCGGTGTGGTGCGTACATGAGGTGGGGGGGGGGTCCCATGGGGAGAGCTAAGGCAGTCGTTGCCCACAGCTGCCCCGGGGCGGGGTATGGACATCCAGGACACGTGTCTTGGGTCACAGCCAAAGCTCACGGTGCTTCCCTCACAGAATGTCCTAGAATCAGTGGCATCTCCTCTGCCTTCTCCCACGCACAGGAGCACCTCAGAGGCAATAGGCGGATCTGAAATGACAATTATTATAGTGTCAAACACTACACTAGGTGAAATTTTCTGAATTTTTTTTTTTTTTCTTATGGATCAAATGTTAAAATGCATATCTCCAAGTTATGATCAAGTCTTGTTTATAATAATTATTTATTTTAGTTTCGATAAGATATAAGTAGTTATACATCATAACATTTTTGTATTTCATTGTAGAGGTCATATAGGTTCAGTGCATAAACACTGTGCAAAGTTCTGGGCCTCTTCTCCTAATCTTGCCCATTAGAATATAGCTGGAGGATTTGCAACTGCATGCTTTAGGTAGATATTAGAAATTGGACCACCCTTTTTAAAAATGTAATTTGAGCATTGAATGATCAGTCTGGTGAAGGTATACAACTTTAAAAACACAGAGATTAAATTCAGGATGTCACAGGTTAAGTGACCTATATTTGATAACTCAGTGGAAATGTGCAACTTAATCCTAATATGACTTCAGGTATGTTTTTGATGAGGAAATAACATTATAAAAAAACATTAGACCCAAACTATTTTAAAATTCAATCAAGCAAATTTATGGAGTGTAATAACAATTCATAGATACCATATTGCCAGATTACATCCATTCTGCACCATACAGTGAGTGGTTTTATTTGTCTTAACCCTATCTCTTAACCCTATCCATTCCAGCCTAATCCCACCTAACCACTATGTGCCATTTGTTTACGTTCATCCTCCGTTATTTCTCTATCTCTATCTCTTCATCTCCTCCTCTTGTTGTCTCTCAGTCTTTCGGGGTCCCTCCCTCTTTCACACCTCACCATTTTGGCACGGCTGTATTTCTTCATTAGGCCCGCTGTTTTGTTGGGGGGGGTTCGGAGGGGGGTTCTCTGGGGACGTCAGAGTACATTAATTCTCATCAGAGGCGGAGTGCGGGGCTGGGAGCTGTGAGCTGTGAATGGCACTTGCTAGCTTGTCTAAGTCCACTTCCACCATTCCATTACGGGCATGCATGTCTCCGGGCATAACAACCCGCCAAACGCATAGATGACAATTCACACTTTGTAAACACGATACTGTAATACTACGGTAGCGCTGACAGGTGAAATGCAATCATCAACCGTTTTTTTAATACTCGTTTTTCACTCCCTTGCTTTTAAGTGTTTTAGTCTGCGCCGCTTTTTGTTCCATTGACCCCTATTGCCATATTAATTGCCTGTCCATCGAAATGAAATTACGTTTATATTGATATTGTGGGATGGCTGCTGGTTTCCATTGGGATGTAACTGATAGGGTAAAGGGGGCAGCGCTAACAGAATGCCCCTAATGTAATTTATAAAGAATAAGCTGTAATTAACACATGCAATTTGTTTCCACTTTGGTTTTACTGCTAATATTACATTATGGTTCTAAAGTAATTGCAAGAGAAGCACATACTAAATGTAGACTGGTCTTTTGAATAGTACACTAATACTATTAGTACTATGTGACTAAAACCAACTACTACTGCATTGGACCAGAGTTAGTTAGTTAGTTAGCTTCTCAAAGGTCCACACCATAGTCACTGTTCATTCACATACCTGTTGTTGGTAAACTGTTTGTTTAGCTACTGCTGCCCTGGAGTAGACTTATCTTGTACTCAACTAGGAGTTAAACTGGGCCTCGAAAAATTTTCATTTAAGTACAATGACGTGTAACTTCACCTGGACTTTACAGAATTCTTACCACAACAAATCGAGTCAGTAGAAATGATCCAGGGTGCCACATTTAGGCGCCACTTGTAGCCCCACGAACTGCAAGTTTGAGACTCCTGACCTAAAGGACTCACTGGACTTGCACTTGGCTGGACTTGTACTGGACTTGCACTATACTTTATTAACCTGACTTGGACTTTCTTTAGATTTGGAACTCAAATCTTAATTAAAATATTTCTTTTGATCAAGAAATCTGTATTTTGTTGTGCTTAATTTGCATATTTAGATATTTTAATATAAATATTTTTAAGTTTCTACTTTACATTCCACCACTCATAATGACACAACCCACCCACAGTACAGTACACAGCCCTGCTAATGCTTTGCCCACTGCATGTTTCCACTATCACTTCTCCAATAAAGCGCACCAATAATGACCAATCGTGTACGCCCGCCCGGCTCTCTTAGGCAATCTCCTCCTGCTGGCCCATATTATCACCCGGGTCAAGGGGTCGGGCCCAGGGGGGTTATCCAGAGTAAATATATAAAGTGATGCGTCCCTGTTTGGTAGTTAACAGGGCTGCTTGAGATTGCACAGTGCTGTCGGTGTGCCGCGCAGGTTTTAATGCGGACGGAGGGAGTGCGCGGCGCGGCTATAGGCCTATTAAAGACATTCATTAGAGCAGTGCTTATGAGAGAGGGACTAACTGGTGGGCAGTAGAATTAACAGGGCTTTTACATCAGGAGCAGACTCACCCGAGGCCTATTGCAGCGGTGTTGGGGGGTAATCGCTGCAATGGCCACAGAGATGTTGCTTATTGGACTTGAATCACAAATTGATCATAGAGACCTCAATGAAATAGTCAATAAAGTAATATTTACTTTGCAAACATTTTGGTGTGGACTGGTGGACCCATTACAAGTTTCAAGTTCTAGACCAGATGACAGAGGATGTATTCTTAAATCATGCAAAGTGACTTGATGGCTAAAGCTTTCAGTGCCTTGGTGTTTGCTCCAGTATGACCCATCCTCCTCCTTTGTGTGTTGGGACTAAATGGACATTCCAGGCTGATTCAGAACAGATCTTGATTATCACTTTGGAAAGCTGTCAAAATACATTCTCTTTCTTGTTACCCAGGATTTGCAGTGCCAGTGTTGCCAGTGCCAGTAGCAGATATAAAGGATTCAAAATAGTCTGATCAGAAATAAACAAAATAATAAAAAAATAGTCTTCCCTTAATATTTGTTTAACATTAAAAAGAAATATTACCTTTATTATGAGGATGGCAACTGATGCACAAAAAGCATTACTAAAATTGTAAAACTACTCTTGAAGTAAGCACACCACTACAGTGGCTCTGTTTTTTTTCCAGCAACAAGGTTCAGGCTCGATTCCCAGGGGGTGTATTTGCAGAGTTTCCTCTTGGGTTCCATCAGCCCCAAAACAAGCACTAGAGACCTTAATCCCCCCAAGATCCCGAGTCAACCTAGAGAAGTATCTGGCTCTTGCTCCTAACAGGTTGAAATGATTGAACTGGACAATAAGGTGACCAAGAAAGCAAGTGTCAAACTGAGGTGGACAAAATTTTTACTGTTACTTTAGAAATTAGTTTGAAACTCAAATTGGAAAACCAACCAAGACTGACAGGTTATGCAAACTACACATTAGAAAGTTAACCTCAGGTCAGGAAGATATAATGTATTTTGGAAGCTGCTGTTTGTCAGCAGACCCACACCCACATGTTAAAAAAACAGTTTAAACTTATCCTTAGAATAACACTTTTAGGGCAAAACTAATTTATCTTGAGAATATTGTGGATAATATTATTGTTATATTATTCAGATGCGATGCAGCGTTGCCCCACCTTGTTTGGGTGCAGTGGGGAGTAGCACGTTGTTCCTACCTCTTTAAAATGTGCTGAGCTGGGCGTTCTTTAAGTTGACTTGTGACTTGGTTTGTGCTCTTTAATGAACCTTGTGTGTTCGCAGGCCTGAAGGTGATCGTACACTACCCTCCTATGTAATAGCATGGGATGGCTCATTATAGCAAGGCATAACAATTCACACATTAATTTTCCAGCATCCAGTTTTTAATTAATCCAGTAGGCAGCCTTAAACACAGGGTACACAAATTGCCTTCGGCCTCATAATTAATTCTAATGGAAGAAATTAAAAATTGGTGGGGTGTGTTTGGATTGTTCGCCTGTGTTACTGCGCTTTCGAGTTCGCTGGAGCGGCGCTGTCACCTATACAAGGATCTCTGCCTTGACCAATCCGGAGAGCTGCTTTTGACTAGCACACAAGCTACTGCCTCTCCTTTTGTGTGTCTGCACAAGCTAACACCTTATATATGTTGTGTTCATGAGATGTCATCATTTTCTAAAGTGGTTACAGTTTCAAATGGAGATAGCACGTCAGGATTCGATGGTGCTCTTGAGATCCCAATGCCAGTTTTTTAACCAAGATAGAAATTTGAAAAATAATTCACACCTAGATTTAATGTACAGAAAATGGCTTGTCTCAATCATCTTCTGGAAAAAGGGTGGTGTGAAGCAGTTCAAATAAGGTTAAAAATGGTTAACCTGGCAAATTAATAGGCATGTGACTCTGAATTGAGTTCTACACATTGTCAATCTGCGATGACTGCTGAAAGCAGTCAGAAAACGTCATGGCGACTATTTGAATCTTATTGGTCAAAGTGTCACAAAAGTAGAACAAGACAGAAATCAAACTTTTTTTTTACATCCACTTGAGAGACAATCACAGACATCATCCCTTTCCACAAATGCACAAAGTGCTTACCTTCTGCACATTTTTCCACTAACAAAATACTTTTGATCAAGGCTGCTCCTAAAATGCTAAGAGTTGTCATTATCATAATAATAGACTAATAATATTATTTATGGGCCCATTATAATAACTTTGCAACTGCAGTCCTGCTGATGATACTGCTAAAAGGTCTCTCTCAATACATGATTGTGGGATCAGATATAAGTATCAGGATATCTGGAATTAATATGAGATCCACTAAATATTCCAGTATGACCATACTGTCACATGCACATGATTTCTTTATTTGTGATCCCAATCACTAGCAAAAAGTGGTCAGGATCTACATCTGACAACATCCAATTCAAGAACGCAGGGTTTTCTGACTCCTCAAATGAAATCTTTTTACGGTATATCCTGACAAGTCTTTTCCGCTCATAGATGTGTCAATGGTTTGGGTTACAGACCGAGTGTATCAGCCCCATTAGCCCTCCACTCCTGGCTGCTGGGATAGAGCTGGGATGGTGGGAGATTGCTTTCCAGTGTGTTGTTGGCATTGGAAGGCTGCCAGCTGTGTTCTGTAGCTACAGGAGCTGCAACGCCATGGGGAGTTGTACTCAAAACCTCCATCATATCCACATTAACAAAGAGAGGAAAGCCTTGTCTGGGGATGCAACACGAGACCGAGCCGAGTGGTGTCTCTGTCTCTGTCATCCAGGCAAGTGCCTTTGGAACAAGAGGTTAGAGTAGTAGAAGGGTGGTGGCTTTTAATGTGTTTTAGAATTTTTTTTAAACATGTGACTCACTTGTTTACAACCACCAGCCTTAGAACCAAAAAGAACAACTAAAACAACTCCTCCTATCAGGTTAGGCTAAAGGGTCTTTGGGATTTAAAATGTAAAAAAAAAAAAAAAAAAAAAAAAAGAACTTTGTTTTAAATGTTTTTTAGTGGTCCAAAGTTATTCTATCCTATGCATTCCGTGCAGAGCTTTTGACCTTACAGTAAAGCTTACAACAGTTGGCATGATAACGTGCACTTCTTGATTATCTGATAATAAAGTGTTTAAGAGCTGGGTACAGGGCCTTTAAAAAACAAAGAAGTCATTCTGCTGAGGTCAACACCACTAATATCTTGATACAGTTTTCTCTAAACAAATGTGTGTTGAACTCAGCCATCTTACTCAATTGACTCCTTTTGAAAACCTGTTGTAGTATTACTTTTATTTATTCCTCCAAGTTTCAACTATAGAAAGAAGAAAACAGTTTGCAGCAATGACATGCCATCTCATGTCCCAGGTTTAATAAATTACATGTGAAACATACATCAACATTTTTACCATGTTATCATTCACAAACAATACTTAAATCTTTTAAATAATTGTCCATAAACAAGCATAATACAAACAAGGATAATTTATAATTAATAAAATGATCTTACCTGTAACTCTAGAAATCAGCATATCAAATTGACTGTCTTCTACTCTCCACAGTTGCTGTATTCTTCCCAAAATGAATTTGTCTCTGTTACTGTTGGACTGGTGCCAGCACAGAGGCCAGGGGAGCAGCTCTCTAAACCTCATATTAACAGACCGGCCCACACCACTGCACTGCAACCAGACACCTGCTTTCCACTCCCAAACATTGGTGTCCTATTGTTCTCTTTGAGTTCCCTCTCTCGATTTTAGCTATATTTGTAGTCCTCTCGATTTGTAATCAGTAACCTCACAAACCTGTATTTATTTTTACTTTGTCTCCTGTAGGCCCCTGCACATCCTGGTGTGTAACGCGGGTGTGTGCTTCCAGCCTTGGAGCCTGACAGAGGATGGTCTGGAGAGAACCTTCCAGGTCTGCCATCTGGGCCACTTCCTTCTGGTGCAGTGCCTGGAGGAAGTGCTGCGGCACTCGGCTCCTGCACGCGTGGTTGTTGTGTCCTCGGAATCACACAGGTACATACACACTAAATATCTCTCCAGAGACACTTAACATTGCAATTATTTATTCACTCCACTCTTGGTGGTTGTAAGCCACAGGTGCCCTGGTGTAGACTTACAGCAGCCAATCTGTGTCATCAGCCCCTCTAACCACCAACACTCTTGCTCACACCACTTTTATACTAGGCAATGTGGGTGAGGGGTCTTGCTTAAGGACACAACAACACTAGAACCACTACTGCCTTACTTTGACCCAGTACTAACCAAGCCCAGCCCTACTTATCTTCTGAGACTGGACGAGACATTGTAACATTATATAACAATTATCAAAGTTATTATAGCTATAGTTTATCTAACGCTTTACAACTTTCAGCAATGGAGACTCTCTATTTATGATCAAATTCACCATTATTTTTGTCTGATTTATGTCTGTGATCTTTGCATCCAACAAAAGTGCAGTTGCACTATAGTTTGTTCTGACTCTGGGGGAACAGTGGCACATTAAGATACCTTTGCCCTTATTTAGTCTAGTTGATTTAGCCCCTTTCCTGATTGTTGATAACACACAGCCGCCACTTTTACACTCCCAAAATGTGGCAAGGAAGGAGGCCTGGTGGTATATTGATGAGCATTCTGCCTCTAAGCACAAAGGTGCACATGTCTTTTGGCTGCTCCACTAAAAACATTACCACTGACTCCAGGCAAGTACTCCTGGGAAAGGTATTCTGAATCTCAGTGGGAATATCCTGGTTATCTGAAAGTAATAGCTATTGTAAATTGCATGTGCTTAGCCAAATTGAAATAAATCTATAATTTTAAATGCATAAGGGATTGTTTTGATTCAGGTTGCCAGCTCAAGGCAAAAATTATATAGAAGTTAAGTTAGAAAGTACATCTAAGTCTTGGTTTTAATAGTTGACTGTATCCTTCAGACATTTCAACCCAACTCTGAGTTTAATCCATAATATCTCAAAGTAGCGCAGTGCAATAACTCGGGGTTCACCCATGCAGTAAGTGCGTGCTACAGCGTCCACTGGTTCCGCCTCCAAACGGATTGATCAGACTTAATGCGTATTGTCAAACATGACAGCCTTACTCACTGAAAACTCATTTCCCTCCACACGCTGTCACTATAAATTAAACGTATCATCAACATGATGGATGGACTTATCAGCTAAAATTTACTTTGATCAAGTATCTGCTCCTTCTGTCTGACCCCCTGACTCAGCCCCTCTCCTCCTCCTCCTCCTTCTATTCTTCCCCAGCTCAGTCTTTCCGCTAACTAATCCGCACTATACACAGGGAAAGAGACAAATATATGACAACTTTAGTTTTTTGCTTTTACAATTGAATAATGCTCTTTAGCTCACTGACAACACATACACCCCTACACACCCCCCCACACACACATACACACATACACTCATACATACATGCATACATACATACATATACACACACACATACATACATACACACATACATACACACATACATACATACATACACACATACATACATTCATACATACACACATACACACACATACATACATACATACATACATACATACACACATACATACACACATATATACATACATACATACATACATACACATACACACACACATACATACATACATACACACATACATACATTCATACATACACACATACATGCACACACATACATACATACATACATACACACATACATACACACATACATACACACACACATACATACATACATACATACATACATACATACACACACACATACACACACACACATACATACATACATACATACATACATACACACATACACACACACATACATACATACATACATACATACACACATACATACACACACATACATACATACATACATACATACATACATACATACATACATACATACATACATACATACATACACACATACATACACACACACATACATACATACATACATACATACATACATACATACATACATACATATATACACACATACATACATACATACATACATACATACATACATACATACACACACACACACACATACCCCTACACACATACACACATACACACATACACACATACACACATACACACATACACCTGCGTGCAAACCACTCACTGATGTTCCCTGTAGCCCCTCCCAGGTGCTAGTTGTGGGATCTAATAATAATATTGACAGTACATCAAATTATGAACTGATGGTCTGAAAAGCTTTGCTTTGTTTTAAGTGGCATGGCAGCAGATTGAACTACACAGACCATGATTTTTTGCTGTGTTTCAGTGTACCTGACTTGAAGACACAAAAGTCTTTTAAACAATTTAATAAAATTGTTCCATCAGGTTAAATATACAATATGTAACTTTTCATGTGGATGTTCCACCACGTGCTGGAATCATGAATATGTTATTGCTTTGCCTGGAATTTTCTACAACATGGTATTAAACAAATACATCTGAAATGTTTTTTTCAAATATGAGTGTTTGTATTATCCTCAAAAAATGCATTCTTCCTGTGAGCAGGGCTGCTGTTCCATAGATCTGACACCTAATTTTCCTCATTGGTGTCATTTGTTGTATCCATGGAGAAATATCACTATAATACCTTACTGTGAATTAATAATCGCAAAGCAATCGGAGACAACCAGCAATGTTATATAGGGCACCTTTAATAACAGAGCTATATTTAACAATGAGATTACCATATTTTGGTATTTTCTTCCCCTCAGTTTTAAGTGTTATTTTGTACTGCTGGTCATACAGCAGTCAGTCTGATATCTGGTAGTGTTCCTCAGCCTCCATGTCCTGACAGTGTGGAGATCATTGATCCAGTCGCGAGTCAGTCAGTCGGCCATGTTGGATGATTGATCTAACCTGGGAGTGGGAGAACATACCAGTTATTCTTGTACATCATACACAGCAGTGAGGGCTGTAATCCTCAGACATGCATGAGAGGCCAGGCTTTACTCTCACATTCACTGGGGGTCACTATGCTGTTACACGCTGCAGCTAGTGTGACAGGGAGAAAGAACAGTATTGAAGGAACATTGCATCAATCAAACAGTAAGGTTTGACTGATGCAATGTTATACTATGACTATGTGGAAATTTTGGTAAATATGTAAAACAAGGCAAGAATTTGAGACATGTACAGTGAGCCTGTAGTTATACTAAATACGCCTGTCACGATAACAAATGTTGAAGTTCATATGTTGAGATACCGGTACTGCTGACGTAAATATAGATGATAAATGATAATATTAAAACTATTTTATACCACTGACATGATAACCCAAGATTAGATCATAGAAATTATTACCTCCGCCAAGGAGGTTATGTTTTTGCTGGCGTTTGTCTGTTTGTTTGTTTGTTTGTCTTTTAGCAACATAACTCAAAACGTTATGGACCGATTTTGATGAAATTTTCAGGATTTGTTGGAAATGTGAAAAGGAAGAACTGATTTCATTTTGGGGGTGATCCGGAAGAAATCCTGGATTCTGGATCACTTTGAAATTTTAGTTAACATTGTGGTAAATGGGGCCAAAAATTTTGTTTCTCAATATCTCGGTTAATTATTGACCAAACCCCATGAAATTTGACTCAGGGATGGACAATGGGATCCTCTTTCATATTCCAAAGGCTGATCCGGATCTGATCCAGAATACTGATTTTATCGCAATTTATATAAAAAATGGGGGTAGTCCTTGGCGGAGGTCTGCGCTCTCTGAGTGCTTTTCTAGTTAACCAGTTAATCATTCATATATAGAACACATTTGAATGCCCATTGCCCAATCTATGTCATATGGCTTCTCTGTTTGTGGAGGAGAAGTAGCTTTACTCTGAGCTCTCTGAAAGGAAATTCATTTGGACTGCTAGCATTCTTGATCTTGTGCTTTTGGTCATGACCTATCTGCTCATGGCCTTATAGATGAGTGTTTTAATATATGATGTGGCTAAATTCTTTCTGGAAATGAGCTCTGCTAGCTATGATTTAATGATCATATCATTAAATCATATCATTAAATCACATGACGATGCTCTTGAAGGTCCTCATACTGTCCAAATCTCCAGCCCAGTACCTGTTCAGAGAAAGGCTAAACAGGGCAGAGAATTCCAGTGCAGTATCTCATGTGACATCTCTCATTCCCCACAGCTCATTTCAGACTTTATATTACATGTATTGAAGGCTCTCGGTGTATGTTTGTGTTAGACTGATTCACTTAGCTCGCCCTCCAAAGCCAGTGTGTGACCTCTGGCCCTGCAGCATATTGTATTCCCTAAGCCCCTTGTTGGCGGCTGCAGCAGTGACCTATAGGGGACAGGCTAATGGCTGGACACTTTATCAGTTGTCCCCAGCACAGGAGCTTAGAGTGGAATTGAGCAAATACACTGACAACTCCAACTGATACAAGATGAGACACTATCCTTCTTATGGGATATTTATAGTAAAAATATGTACACAATTCCTCACCTGGTCAAATATGCTTTTTATACATTTTGTTTATTTTGTAAACTTTGGCCATGAATTATAATACTTGACAGTTATGGCCATGTAGTGTAAAACGGTTAACATTAGATTCATTTTCACATAGAAATCCTCTGTATACTTTCAGATGACTACAAGGGATGGGCGATGTATGAGTATCAAGACTGGAGGTTTTCTCATGTATCAGTGTTGGTCTGATATTGATATTCTGGCAATATTTTGCACAGATTTTTTTCTGCCTCAGTCTGTGTGTGCTCATTCTCCTCTTTGTCTTTTTGAGAAGAGTAATCTGTAGAAATGGAAATTGAAGCTAAATGAGAATAAAAATAAGGCTGTATGTTTACACAATCATGCAACAAATAGATATTTTCCAGATAAATAATATTTGCAATTTTGACAAAAGTGAAAAGTTAATTTGTGAAATGATTTATGTGAGCCTTGCTATGGATTTAAAAACTGTAATACTGGTTATCAGCGGCAGCAAGTCAATTAATTGAATATGGTATCTAGGCTTGAAAAAACTATTTTGGCTTCTTCCTAATTACTCTATTACCATATTATGATACTTGCTTGTTGTTTGAACTTCATGAATTAAGATTTAGTTTGCTGTCCAATCTAGAACTGAATTTAAATGAAATAGAAAAACAAACAAACAAACAAAAACTCATTTGCTGCAGGTACACACTTGACTGAAACGCTTTATTTTACTCAACTGTACTCCACAAAATTTCACACAACACATCTTTTAACCACAATTTACAAACCATTTTACAATAAAAGCCCCAAAAGTGTCGGGATTTGGTTTGTTGCTGATTTATCAACCTGTACTTGATGAAGCCGTCGTGAAGTTGGCGCACATGAAATGAAAAGCCCGCAGATGTTGTAATTTAGCCAAGCGCGGATGTTGCGGCGGGCGACAGTAAACAAGAGGCAGCCAGCTTGTAAAATCACAACAAGGAAAGCAGGTGACATTTTGATTGGTTGTTTGGTAATGACTGGATTAATATGTAGAATGTGTCCCGGGCGCAGCTAGCTCACCGGCGGATGAGGACTCGGAGCATGTGCGCGGTGATATTGCAGCGCCCAGGCATAATAACAACAAGTAGTGTAATGTTTAGGGGCCTTGTCAAACATCTGGAGTTTAACAGCTCTGTCGCAAGCAATTAAAGAACATCATGTCACCCCTTTGATTTGTATGCTAGGAGCGCTACACATCTGCCAGCCCAGGCCTCTGCACACAACAATGTAACTGTAACTACTGCTAACTCTCATGGTGTTTTTAACCTAAGTGCCTCAACTCCCGACAGGCTAGGTGGGCATTGTTTCTGACCAGATTCAACTTTACCCTTTCCTACCGTCCTGGATCACGTAATGCAAAGCCTGATTCCTTGTCCCGCCAATTCTGCACTTCTGATGACCACTCTGCTGAACCTAATACTATTCTTTCCAGCTCCCACATGGTTGCCATTCTCACCTGGGAATTGGAGGAACGAGTGAAGGCCGCTTTGGAGAACAATCCCGGCCCCAGCACCTGCCCTAACAATCTCCTGTTTGTTCCACAGCACCTCAGATCAGACGTTCTGCAATGGGCTCACAGTTCTAAGCTCACCTGTCACCCTGGAATCCAGCGAACTAAGGAGGTCCTGCTACAAAGGTTCTGGTGGGGTACCTTGGATGAGGACACCAGAGATTTTGTAAATGCATGTCAGATTTGCCGTCAGTCAAAGTCTACGCACCAAGCACCTGCCGGCCATCTTCTTCCCTTACCTGTTCCCCACCGGCCTTGGTCCCATATATCCCTGGACTTCGTCACTGCCTTACCGGTCTCCAGTGGACACACCACCATCCTGACTGTAGTCGATCGCTTTAGTAAGATGGCCCATTTCATTCCGCTGGCCAAACTCCCTTCTGCCAAGGAGACAGCTGAACTCATGTTGCAGCATGTTTTTCGGCTACACGGACTCCCGACTGACATAGTCTCTGATCGGGGTCCACAGTTCACCTCCATCTTCTGGCGTGAGTTCTGTTTACTTCTTGGAGCCACCGTTAGCCTTTCATCAGGCTACCATCCTCAGTCCAACGGCCAGACTGAGAGAATCAACCAGCAGATGGAGACAGTGCTGCGGTGTATGGCCTCCAGGAATCCATCCTCCTGGTCCCAGCAGCTACTCTGGGTCGAGTACTCCCACAACACGCTGAAAAGCTCTGCCACTGGTTTTTCCCCATTTCAATGTGCTTATGGGTACCAGCCACCTATGTTTCAATCCCAGGAGAAAGAGGCATCATGTCTTTCTGTTCAAGCCTTTATCAAGCGCTGCTACAGAACCTGGAGACAGGCTCGGACTGCCCTTCTTAGCACAGCACAGTGCTATTCTGCCGCAGCTAACCGCCGGCGATCAAAGGCTCCTGCTTACCAGAGTGGTCACATGGTTTGGCTCTCCACCAAGGATCTTCCTCTCCGGGTTGATTCAAAGAAGTTGGCACCAAAATTCATTGGCCCCTTTGAGATAGAAAAGATGGTCAACCCTGTGGCTGCACGTCTCAAGTTACCCAGAGCCATGCGAATAAATCCGACATTTCATGTCTCTAGGTTGAAGCCAGTCTGTGAGAGCCCTCTTGCTCCTGTTTTGCCGCCACCACCTCCGACACGCCTGATTGATGGGGAACCTGCGTATACAGTGCGTCGCCTCCTGCGCTCCAGATGTTGTGGTCGAGGTCTTCAATACCTGGTTGACTGGGAAGGCTATGGGCCAGAGGAGCGTTCTTGGGTGCCTGCCAGCTTTATCTTGGACCCTCTTCTCATTAAGACTTTCCATGAGAAACACCCTGAACAGCCTTCAAAGGGCTCTTGAAGCTCTCGCGATTCTTTCTGCTACCCTAGGTGATCCATCTGGGTACTCTGACCTTTCAGAGGACTTCTGACCCTCCTCCAGGCCCCCTCCTCCCTCCCGTGGTCGGCCTTTTGGTTTTGGGACGTCAGGAGCCGTCCCTTGAGAGGGGGGTTCTGTCACAGTTCTGCCTTTTGTTTACTTGTTTTCCCCAATCCAGTCCATTTCTCAGTCTGTTCCGGTCCTCCTTTTGCCACCTCCCTCCTTTCCCTACAGGTGCCGCTCATTCTGTAATCAGCCCAGGCCCAGTCTATATATACTCCCTCTGCTCCCTCAGTCTTTGCCAGATTGTCGACCTGTTAAGACAGACATTCAAGCTCTGAAAACCTGAAACCTGAAATCCCTGTATTCCCTGAATCTGTTCTGTTTGTGATTTCTCCAATTCTGTGTTTCCCTGTTTGTTGTCCCTGTTTCTGAGTTCACTCACAGTTAATTTCTTACTAGTGTATTTCCCAGTCTTGGAGGATATTTCCGTTCACATTTTATATCATATATTCCTCTGTTATATTTTCAGTCTGAGTTTCCATTATTACATTCCCTGTTATAGAACACTTTCTGTTATTTAAATAAGACTTTGTTTGCCTGAGTACTTGTGTTGCATTTCAGTCCAATTTACCTGCATGATAGTCTGAGAAATTAACTTACAACCTATTTTCTGTATTGGCTCACCCAAACTTGGGATTTCCTTTTTTGCTATAACCATACACACTTTGTCATAAGAATTTACCCTTCCTAACTCACTGTGTTTTTCAGGTTCACCTGTTTGAATGACTCCTGCAGTAAACTTGACCTGGCCATGCTCTCACCACCACAGAAGGACTACTGGTCCGTACTGGCCTACAACCGCGCCAAACTGTGCAACATCCTGTTCAGTAATGAGCTCCACCGGCGCCTGTCCCCCCATGGAGTCACCTGTAACGCACTGCACCCTGGGAACATCATGTACACGGACCTCCACAGGAGCTGGTGGCTTATGACCTTCTTCTTCACACTGGCCCGGCCCTTCACCAAGTCTATGGTAAGTCCCTACTCGTAGCATGTGTGATTGGGAAGAAGGACAATATGGATTTTTGGTGGTTGTGCGTTTGCGTTTTTTTTATTTTTTATGTCACAATAACTGCTTGACTAGGGCTGGGTGATATGGTGATAAAAGTGTAATTGTGGTCTTTCTGTGATAATATGGTATTTTGGTCATATCGTCTTTTGCTATTTGGTTAGCATCTGTAAGGGTCTGAGTGAGTGACAGCTGTATTCAGCCAGTCAGAGTGAAGTGTGAACGGTCAGGTAAACCACATAACTTTACCTCTTTAGGCAATAACAAAATACAAAGTGATAGAATTGTAATAAAATTGAAATCATGACCTGGCTCCAAGAAAATCATTCTTAATTTTTGGCCATATCATTCACCCCATTACTCATTTGTTAGCAGCTTATCCTCATATGATCTTTTAGCTGCATGTTTTCTCTTGTCTTTCTCTTGGCTCGGCAGAATTATGTTTTGTAAACTTACCCTAAACAGAGTTCATTTTGCCATCTGTAGAGATGGCTAACTTCCATTTTGAGGATGGCTGAGCCTCATAGGCTAATCTGTTTTTGCTCTTGTGAGTTTTATTGAGCTGCTAAGAAGACCATACCTTTTTTTTTTATAGTGAAAAATAAAGGTAAAATACTAATTTAAATAAAATAGTGCTGGATATGAATGTGCTGTGCCATGTGCTGGATATGAATGAGTTGATCTTGTATATCTGCTGATATTATCTTCTATTGACAAGATTCATAACAGAAACATTGCCTTTGCTTTGTCTTCAACTTACAAGGCTTCAAACCTAGTAGAGACCCGTAGTTGGATTGTCATTACATAATATATAAATGCTTTTATCATAACGACACACACATACATTTCATTGCTTGTCACAAGTAAGACACTTCCTTTTCTTTATCTGACTATATGTGGTGTGTTGTTTTTGGCCTGTTCATGGTGGTTCAGGAACATATTTTCTACACACTTGGGGAGAGTATATCTTTCAGCGGTACACAGATATTCAGTGGTTTGTTTTCCGTTTCCTCCTTTCATTGTGTATTTAACTCCAGGAGAACTCTTCCCTATATCCTCTCCCAAGTCCACTCCACATGTGTGTACTGCTGCTATTAGGTTACACTAAATGCACCACAAAACCCACACACAGATACAGCTGTGCACCCAGGACTGTTGACAAAATAAGTGATCCGTCAGTGTGTTTTTATCATGCCTTTCCCATCAGGAGGAACACTTACATGGGTGGGATGTTAGGGATGGAACTTTGTCTATAGTAGAATGAAGATTCATATGGGCCTCTTTTAAAGGGAACTTATTTATGCAAATTGGGTTTTAGGGTTTTATCCATGTTATGGTTATTTCATTTACACACTCAAAGTTGTATTTACAGTGATTCATGCATGTTTGAGTAATTTTCATATTTTTTTATTCAAGACGTTATTGCTCCAGTCTACCCCTGTTCTCACCACCACAGGCATATTCTCGGCTTTTATTTTCTCAGTTAGTGATATCTCAAATTTGTGATTCAGCAGTACAACACCCTTTGCTTTAACAGTGCTCCAGACCTTTGGCCTTCTCTCTTTGAGCTTCATGATGAAGCCTCCTGAAATAGTTTCCCCTTCACTGATGTGGTTTGTCTGGGTTAAGCAGAAAATGTGCAAAACATCAAAAAATATAAAACATGCTTTCAGTTCATTCATAGTTTTGTTGCCTTTAAGTGAGAATCTACAATGTAAATCGTCACAAAAAAGACAAAACAATTAGTTGAAAAAGTGTGTCCAAATATTTTTACCAGTGTTTGTTCTTAGTGTAATTGTCATCTATAAAGCTACTGTTTACTTATATTTAATTGTACCTCAGGTGTTGATTGGACATGTGTACACGCCATAGCTCTCCTCTTCCATCCATCTCCCTGTATTCAAAGCCTTGTATAAGGACGGCTCCGCTCCCCCTTCAGGCTCCATACCTCTGCCTAATATATGCTTTACTTCCACTATTACATCCTTTCCATTAGCCGCTCTTCATACTTTATCAATTTAGCGCTGTGACTGAAGGGGGAATGTGGAGTTTTCACACAGCGTTGTTCTGATCCATCACTTTTGACAGACACAAGGCCGCAGGCTGTCATTCGTCTCTCCTGTCCGCTCCTTCTCCTCCTCCTCTGCGTCTCACGGCTCACAAGAAGTGCTCCTCAGCACCTTTCTCAAAATGCCACCACCAACATTTCCAACATTTGACTATACTCCTGTCACCATCTTTCATTCACGGCCACAATCCTGCTTATCATTTACACAGACTCGTTTGAGTGTTCAAGTGTTGTGAGGCAGACAGGCAAATTGGTTAACTGTGTTTGCTAGGGTGTGTGTGATGAGAATGGAGATGGTTCTCCTATACTGTTAACCTACCTATAAACTACATGAAACATTCAGGTATAGTAGGCCTTGTCTAAATGATCTCTACCCTCCAGTCTGAGCACTTGATGTAGACCATTGATACGTGGGGAAAAAGTCCTCTTATCAAGATTTGGAGATCAAGTTGGTTAAGTTGATTGAGTTGATTGCTTTACACAGCAAGATGAATTCCTGTGATATCTCTTTGCAAACTCATAAGAATCCATCTGTATCCAATCACAGGGCAGACTGTATATATTTACTATGCTTTTCTCTCAACTGGATTTGCCAAAAGTTTGATTTCTCTGCTGTCACAACAGTATTCGTCAGATTGCTTAAAACAGGAGCCATGCCAGATTCCAGTATCAATCTGACTCAGTTACCTATACAAAAAAATGTCGGTGGATTAAATTTGGGACCTTTTGTGGTGAGACGTGTGAGCTAAACATTCAGCTATGTCATCCTATGGTCTTATGTGAAGAGAACTGAAGATCTGGTATCCTGTTTTTTCTTGCTTTGCTTTAGGGCACATTCAACTTACAAATTTGTTTCTACTTGTTTAGAATGATTTTTATTTAAAGAAAGTTATTTTGCATGTGCATGTAATTTACTTCTGGTTATACATCAGATACCCTAAGCTGATGTACCTTTCTAGATAAGACATGAGACTTGTGGCTCCTTGTTTTTAGGTTCTCGCAGTTTAATCTAAAAAAGTGTATACTTTTTATCAAAGTTTTCTCATCTTCAGTTCATTCTTGCTCTTATATGCCAGCTTCACATATATCCAAGTGAAATGGGTGTGGTATTTTAAATGCAATTAACAAAATGATTTCATCTTTCCAATGGGGCAGTGACTTCTCCACACTTGAGTAACTAATCGTAACATAGATGTTGGTAAATATGATTGGACAAAGGTAGATTTCGTAATTAAAAACTGTCTTGCTGACACTGCGATTAACCAAAACTGTCTCAGATAACCAGCACACACGCAACCTTAAACACGCTCAAAGTAAGTAAGTTGATAAGCCCCTTCCCCCCTTACCCCCCACACTGCTCTCACACTGCCCCCACATTACAGGCTTAATAAAACAGTGATATTATTTCAGTTATTGGTTGCGGGGATATGAAGATGCTATCGGGTTAATTGCTGGCGTACGCTTCCGGGATCCACAGAGATTGTTGTGGGATGCAGACATAAGCAGAAAGCGCCATCCAAAAAAACAATCAAGCTCCCCCCCGGAGTGCGTTCCAGTGCAAATAACCCCGGCTCATTTAAAGAAGAGCGCTGATTTATGAGCGCACAGGTGAATGATGTACAGCTGGACTGGCCGGATGGAGACGCACAGAGAGAGGAAGAGAGAGGAAACATGAGGCCCAGTCTGAATAGTTTAGGAGGTGTCAAGATGAAGGAGGATTATGATATGCAAGATTTGTTATGAAAGAAGAAATGAATCGCCCAGTGGAAACACATGTTATTGCCTGTTAAATACCTGTGGTTCTCCAGAGCAATATAAAGGTTAATGTATCTGTTAACCAAGGTTTTCTTTCCTATCATTTTGCATAGCCACAACTTATTGTGGAAATTATACAAATTATTGTTTTAATTTCAAATCATAATTATTATATTATAGAAAGTGAATATGCCAATGGTGCCGCAATTTAAGTGTTCTCCCAACAACTGAAGGATAGTCTCTTTGAGTCTTGTCTCAGGCCCCCAGTCACAGGATGTGACAGAATGTGCATTCAGGGTAAAAACTAAATACCAATACAATATATCAGTTGTCCGATACATTGGGCTGATATTTGAACTTTTTAGCATAATGGCCCTCAGCCTTAAATTTCCAACAAAGGACTATTTTTAGTTTGGCTGACCTGCTGCATAATCAATATGTATAAAGCTTTATTTAAACACTTTACTATGAAGGACACTGAACAAAATGTGACTACACAGCTCTTATGCAGTTTGTAGTAAAGCAGGGTTGTGGATGAGATAATTTGAGGAAAATTATCAAAATCTGGCTTCCTTATTGGCCCAAAAATATCAGCAGAGCTTATTCGTCAGTATCAGCATCAACCATTTCAGAAAACCTCTGGTTGATTTCTACAAAAAATCGCTTGGTCCAGATGACTAGCATACATCTGTTGTTTTTATGAATACCTTGGATCTCATTTTAAATGTATTAGTGATTGTGTACATTGATTTTTTTATGTACCTCCGGAAGACTAGCAACATTCTCGTGGAAGTTAATGGAAATCAGAATAAAAAGCCTAATACGGTGCTCTTAAATAAGACCCACCAAGACATTCTTCCATTCTACAACACATTTAAGAAAAGAAAAAACAATGTCTCTGCTCTTTTGCATTTAGTTGTGAAATAGCATCAGCCAAACAAAATTAGATCTTCAGGTTATCAGCATAAAAGCAATATCTGTTTCCTTATTCAAATTCCCATAAAGAACTCCCCAGCTCATTTTAAACATGCATGCTTAAATGGTCCTCCCTTTCGGCTTCTTTAATCTCACTTACCACTCCCCAAATATTGCCCCTGTGTCATCTGTGCATCCTTTGTGTTGTTTCGTCTCCTCCATTCTC